AGAACTCTCTCTCTCTCTCTCTCTGTTCATTTACCGGCTGTTTTGTCGTGGCGTGTTCGAAATGACATGTAGATTTACGTTTAAGTGCGATCGGCAGCGATCGCCGATTTTCTCAAAATAGAAACGTTTACTTGCGATTGCTTTATTTTTTAAAGATTTTCTAAGATTATTGTATACTTCAAGCGCGAGTGTTCTGACGCATTTAGAGAAGCAGCATCACGTTATTCGCGTTTAAAGCCAATATATTTGTTGTCTATGATTTTATGTGACGTTTTTACGATCTTTAGGAAGATTTTTCGATGGGTCTATCAATCCGATCGCACGACAGCAACGTCGTTGTCGTCGTCGTCGTCTTCGTTGTTGTCCTCTCTCTTGGCGGTCAGAGACCGATATATTTTCTCAGCACTTGGGGCTTTCCCGTGAACAGAACACTACGCCACCTTGAGAACGCCAGGACCCTCCACCAGCTTCTTCGGATATATTCCCTTACCATCGGCCATATCCATCCGGTCACGCTGGGTTGACCGCACACGCTCTCACTTACACATACGTACTCCCTTCCAACCAGGTCGCGGACCAGCATCCTATACCGGGTGGCTCAGAAGTTATTTTCCCTCTGTTCTCCCTCAGTCGGAGAACTTCAATCACGAGAGTTGTAAATTCCATCGGGTGACTCAAAGAAGTCAGTCTCTCTCTCTCTTTTCTCCCTCGGTTACAGATTTCAAGGTGATTTTTTTATCGATTTTTTTCTCCGAGCGAAAGATCGATCGGAGAGAATCGAATTAGCTTTGTAATTCACATCATTATTAACATCTCTGTTATCTCGCGCGTCGGTTGATTTGGTATTTAAAGTCTTACTCTTGTATTGTCTAAAAGCGCGTAACTTTTGCGACATCCCGTACATATATACGCACACACATGTGTGTGTATATATATATATACACATATATGTACAAGTACTGATACTGGCTGCGAGTTTCGTTTCATCTTACTTGTTGGATAGGGTTCTTCGAGTGGCTAGAGGAAAGAACTTCTTTCTTCCTTCCTTCCTTCTTTCCTTCTTTCCTTTCTTTCTTCCTTCCTTCCTTCCTTCCTTCCTTCTTCCTTCCTTCCTTCCTACCTTTCTTTCCTTCTTCCTTCCTTCCTTCCTTCTTTCCTTCCTTCCTTCCTTCCTTCCTTCCTTTCTTCCTTCTCTCTCTCTCTCTCTCTTGCTGTCGTTCTCCCTTCTTTTTCTTCGAAACGCGCAAGGGATTGTTTGCACTCACCTCTCTTCCATCGCTTCACCTACCTTAGTCCCTCGGTTCCGTCTACGCCCCGCGGGATCCCGCCACCCCGTCGTCCGGAGCTCAGATTGCTTTTATACCATGGATTGATTGACAATATACTTACGTTAGCCGAGTGGACCGTACAGTTATGGAGACGGCTACACCCTCTTCGTCTTCCTTTTCCCACCCTGTGCCACCGCCGTTAAAGCGCGACCCTCTTCCCTGCGCTGGAACATCGCCGCAGGATCCTTCCACTTTCTTTCCTTCGTTCTCTTCTCTCTCTCTCTTTCTCTCTCTGTCTCTCGTTCGCTCGCTTGTATAAAAGTAAGCGATTTTCGATAGATATTGCTGTTCGCAAGAAAACACGAGCAAATCTCTTGGACAAACACGCACGGTTTCACATCTATTATATGCGCGCGACAATTAAAATCTCTCTCTGTAAAAGAACAATAATTTCTATTAGAGCGCAATGTATTTTATTTTATTCAGACGTTTTTCTTTCGAAAGCGAGAGATCTTTTTTTTTTTTTTTGGAAGGGTTTGATTTATTTTATAACGTACATATCTTTCCCGTACCCCTCTGTCGAAACCGTAAATATGTCACGCGTGTGCCGAAACTGATTGTTACGAACTGCATTTCGACGGCGAAGATGAGAGACGAAGCACACCCCGGTGAATATAATCCTACGATCTCGCGATCTGACGCGAGTGCCATATTCCTCGTAAATTCATGACCTTTCCACGAAGAAGACCGGAACGGGATGATGTGAGAATTTTCGGGAGACAACCCCCGTGTGTCGCGTATCGTCGTGTGTTGTTCTTCCTTTCGCATATAACCCGTGACCACAGGTATTTTTCTTCGTGCAAAGAAATACACGCCAGTTAACATTGTTCGAATGTTAAAGGTAGAATTTATCAAAACACATTCAGCTTTCTTAAATGTTAATGCAATAATAATAATAATAATAATAATAATAATAATAATAATAATAATAATAATAATACATATATTTTCTATAAATATTCAGAGAGAAAAGTAACGCGGCAAGGATATATGTGTATGTTACATTATAATTCATTAATAAGCAAACGAGTCGGTAAAGCGAGTTTGCGTCCAGCGACTCGATTAATTCGACAACTGTGTGCGCTTTAATTTAATTACCTCGCTCTCGTTTCCCGACATTAATCCTTTATCGGTTTAACGTATGTTACCTGGAAAAAGTTTGCCGATTGTGTGTGCTCCCATCGGGGGTAATCAGGGAGAGAACTTGATCTTCCTTCGCGTCTGAAGTCCGAAAGTAACTCAGCCCGCTATCGCGGTGAGGCGGTGCCATTTAATGAATTCAGAATGCGTTTGGAGAGTCTCCAACGCGGATCTCTCTTCTTTTTTCGCTATCTGTTCCTTTTCTCCCGGAAAAGACGTACGAATCGTCGTCGTCGGATGGTTGCGGTTCCTTGAGCGCGCGGGACACTTTAGAGCTTATGTCCCTGGAATACGTAACGTGGGATTTCGGCGGCTCGCATTCTTTCTCATCCCTCTTTCTCGTTCGTTTCGTTCTTTTATTTCCTCGCGATTCTTCGCTGGGATTTTCGGATAAAAATTGTGCTTTTTTTTTTTCGAATCTCTAACCACCTTCGTCCAAATAAACTAATTGGGAAGTAAAGAACAAACGGTAGAGCCGATAATTACACGATTTATGCTGCGTTACATTTTTCTCTGTGATCTCAAGATTTTATATTGTTTTTTTTTTGCATAAGTGTTGCAATACAAAAAAAGTTTTCAAGAAAGTGTGAGTCGCTTCTCGGTAAATCGGCGACGGTCTCTATGATGGTCATTGTCGATTTCAGCAAGACACAGTTGGGATTTCCCGGGATGTTCGTCTGGTGTATGTAGTGCGCGGACAAAAATAGGGGATGCATCGATCGCCTAAACTGCGTTTTACGACTGGCAGCGTCGTAAAACGTAATGCAAAGCGTTTACGAACCAACGCCCGTCGTACATAAATTTACACATCGTAAGATTTCGGGGCGCACAAATGCATGCAGAACGGTATCGTTTAAGGACAAATGGTCTTATCGTAACTTAAGAAACGGACGGACGTTCTTAACTCTTAGTGGATGCGGCACGTCGTCATTTGGATTTTTTTTTTTTTATTTTTTTTCGACGTGGTTGCGCGTTCTGAAACGCGTGTGAATCTCACGACGCTGACACTTCAATCGAACAACTGGTGAATTTTCATAATTTTTACAACAAAAGATTTCGCCGCGCGAACGTAAAAGTTTCCTTTCCTCAAAGGATAAAACGTATAGCAATTATTTATGGCACGTTGTACACATATCGGGTATACGAGATTGATTGAGACGCTAAAGTTCCGTCATATACTCTAGGAAATTAGTCGTCGTATTCGTCGAGGGGATATACCTACAAACCCCGACTTCTTCTTCTTCTTCTTCTTCTATCATCCTCTACCACACCCCTGCTGATCGCTTTTCTTTCTTCGGTTTAAGGGTGGTGGCGCGTTGCTTCAACCCCGCCCTGATCTGTAAATATTGGCGACCCCGTAACAGCTCCTCGTAAAAATCACTTGATTACAACCCCTCCTTCATCACTCGCAAACGTCATTCATCAGCGTGTGGACTGCAATGAAAAAATAGACACACGTTTTTCTTCTTACAATCGTTTAGAATAATAGCAAAAAAAAAGAGGAGGTTTTACATTCTTGCAGTTTTATATGTGTGTTATTTTTAATTATTGTGTAATATCTCAATTGTAACGTAAAATGGAGATTTTTCGAGCACAAGCGTTATTTATTTAATTATTTTGTTTTAAATAATTCAGTTAGAGAAAGATCAACAAATAAGGTGTCATTTTTCATGTTCCACTTGCAACCACCAAAACCAAAAGATAAAGATTGATTCTCCGCGCGATAAGAGAGAGGTTTATGGTTTCTCGAGATTACGAGATCGGAAAGTTGCGCAAGTTGGGTTTGCATCCTTGTATGCGCAAGTGATTAATTACAAACATCGCGCGCACAGAAGGTCGGAACACGTCATAGTCCTGGTCTGGTTTTCGCGTTTGCGGAATTTCTTGAGTCAATTTCGACGATCATTTTGTCGCGAAAAAAAATTTATGCGCGCGCGCGCGCCAATTGTTTAAACACAATTCCGCGCGTGTTGTTGATCAATCGTTCGCAACACACACACACACACAATACTTTTTTTTTTTTTTTTACGGGGGTTGGTTGCGTCTGTCACTCTGTAGCTCAATAGCGCATATTGCGTTATCTGCGATATTTTTTCGGTCGTAATAACGACGCATAGCCGCCAGCCGCGCAACGCGTCACCCTCGATATTTCAATAGGCTGAAACTTGATACGATCTGATCGATAGTACGTTCATATTGTTGCCACGGGGTGGGAACGTGCCGTGTATATCGTTACGTTATGTAACCTGTTAAGTGGCTTGATGTTGTTACGGATTTTCGAGATTATCGGTACACATCGGTGGGCTAAATCCCGTTGCATTCCATAATTTTATGTATTGCGATCGCTTTAAATCGCTATTTATTTCCGTTCGTCGTGCGATACCCTAACGCGATAGCGTACAATAGGTACTTGCCTCACTTAAAGGGAGAGAATGATAAAAAAAAAAAAAAAAAAATCTCGCGAGAGTTTTCGCGCGCCCATTCTCGCGGACACGCGTGTCTAACAACGTTTTGTCCCTCTTCTGATTTCAGATTCTTTTACCTGTACCACTTTTCTTTCTACGCGTACCATCATCGATTCAACGGACAGTACAGCAGTCTGGCGCTCGTCACATCCTGGTTCTTCATACAGGTGAGTGTCTTGTTTTTTTTTTTTTTTTTCTTATATACTTGTGTCGTCTCATTAAATGCAAATGAAGCGATACACGTTCGCTTTTAGCAAGCTCGTCTCAACTCGGGTTCGAGTTCGAGTGATCGATCGGTGTTGCGGTTTCGCGAGAGGCATAGGAAAGAACGGCGCACGTTTCGAGAATAAATTTTCCGGTGAAAGCGCGCGAACGCGCGAGTAAGTCGGCGAGGCAAACAGAAGTATTTTATACGGGAGTGTATTTTGGGATCCTTAAAGCGGCGCGCCGCCGCGTCGCGGTTCGTGAAATAATCGTTTCTATCCCCGTGATAAAAAAAAAAAAAAACTCCCGCCAGAATAGTGGAGAAGTTTTTTCTCCGGAGAAAAAAATTGCTCTTTTGCATCGAAGTGGACATTGATCACGAATACCCCCATGACCTACTTCGCGAGCACTTTAGTCGAGGACAAACGTGGTCGGTCTGCTAGTTCAACAAAAAAAAAGAGAGAGAGAAAATTCTTCTGAGTTACGTTTAAAAAAAAAAAGTTGTGTCTAGGAATCTTCCCGCTTTCTTCTCCTCCCTTCTCGTCCGTTAGAATGTAAGTGTTCTAATTTTCTCAAGAACAGGTCGCGCGTTCTGTGTGTGTGTATGTATGTATGTATGTATGTATGTATGTGTGTTAGGCGTTTCAATCAAACGATCTGAATAGTTCATTCGAACGAGCGGTTAAGTGTCGCGAAAATAAAAAATGAAACTCCGAATTAAAAGAGTCTTTCTGAAAAGAGTCAAAATATATCGAATTTTTCATTGTAAATTTTATTTGGGATTTGAAACATTTTTTTTTAACATAACGGAGTTGAAGATTATTATATTATTGTTCAGTATATAGAACCTCTCTCTGTCTCTCTCTCTCTCTCTCTCTTTCTCTCGCTCGCTCGACAGATTAAACTCGCCATGAATCGCGGCGTCAATCATCCCGCCTATTGTTTCTTCACGTTGCATTGATCTTTGAAGAATGGGAAGTCGAGGCTTCGTTGATTGCAACTTACTCGTATTTTCATCATCCGAGAAGGAGATTCCGAGGTTTACGACGTGAATTTGTGCTTCCGTGTAGAAATATATAACGTGGAGAGAGAGAGACGCGGGGGGAGGTAAAGTGGAAGCGCGCAATATTTTGCATGCGATCTCATTGGCTACTGCTTGTGAGAGTCCTGCGATTGACAGCAACGGCGGAACAGAAACGAAGAACGAGCCGTGCCACGGCCGTGGTCGCTCCGGCTTGGTAGTAGTCTAAAGCCGCCATCGCTCAAACTTAAGTTACGTAAACGCAAACCGGGACAATGCTCCTGACAGCTCGATCGATAGAAACAACTTAATGCGGCTTCTTGGTTTCCATGTACAAATGCGCATAAAGGATACTTTAATGCGGGAATCTCGTTCGAGCGAAGGGCGTGTCTCGTCCATTAGGAATGTTTAGGTGTTTAAGTTAAAGTTCTCGTGTGTGGTTTGTTTGTGGAATATACTCGTCGCTTTCTCCCATCGGATGTAACCAATCTATGAGAAACGTACATACGTATTATCGCACCGCGCTACCGCGTCGATTTGCAATTTTCGCTCATTTCTGTTATTTAAGCAAAACATGTATATCGGAGGAAAATGGGAGGAGAGAATTTGTATTAAAATTGATCGTAGCGGAACACACGTGATTATATAAGCCGTCGGAATTCCAGAAACAAATTCGCTGCTACGCCAATAATACGTACTAGGTAATCTGATTGGATGGCATATTTTGTTAATGCAATAAGTTATAATTAGATGATCACGGCCGTATTAACAGATATTATTATAATGGCGTTACAATAGATAGCCGCTTAATAACTACATTCGATATGTATACACGTACATGTACGTGTGTACGTGTGTAAACGTTGTGTGTATATTCGCGCGTAAAAACTGAATGCCATTAAAGTTTAATGGAGTGGTTAATTCACCGGATAAAAGATGTAAATGCATCACAATGCCGCCGTCATTATGCATTGGGGGAAAAAGATCATGTGTGTTAATACTCACCGCTCATGAATTATTGGGAATGTATTTAGTTATTATTCCCTCTCTTTTCCCTCCCTCTTTCTTTCTCTCTTTCTCTCTCTCTCTTTCTCTCTGATTTGTAGTTTAATAAACGCTAAACGAAACGTTTCTCTAATCCGATAAAATATTGATAAATTTCTGACAAAAAATTTTTATCGTCAAACCGATATACCTCTACATTGAAACATTTTAGAACGTGATCGAGCGTATGTCTCGTAAATAAACCGACTCAGTCTATCACGTCGATGACAGTCCCCGGCTGACAACCGGGTTACAGCTTCGTTAACATGATCGACCGTTAACGAGCGACAATTATTTCGCTGGCAACGAGTTTACGAATACCGAGCTGCGGCAAAATTCGCGAAGCTCGAGGGCATGTCGCGGTCGAGAATCGTTTTGATTCCCGGATGGCAAAGCGCGCTCCCTCTCCTTCTCTCTCGCCGGCTGTTGCTGTAGGTCAGAGTTTAGCCGATTAGCCCCGCGGCGTGATTATACGCCGATTCGATATCGGTGTCATTGGCGTTGATTATCTAGCGAAACGAAAACTCGATATACCACCCCCCTCCCCCCCCCGGATCCTTGCGTCCCTTCTTCGCTCCGCGTTTTCCGCCTAAAACCCGCGCTCTATTCGCTTTTCTCTATCCTCCACCTCTCTCGGGAATCCTTCTTTCTCCCTCCTTTCCTTCCCTCCTTCGTTCTTCGCGAATCTTTCTATCGGTCTTCTTTTTCTCAAACGGTGCGGAATCGTTCCGCTTCTTGCCGCGACGAATCACCGAGAATACCATTTCCTTCGCGTCGCCGACAGGTGCCCCGAGTTCTCGAGATATCCATTTTCCATATCCAAGATTTTTCTCTTCCCTCGGTTATCCATCCGCCACTCTGCGCGCGTCTTCCCTTCGCGTCGTTCGTTCGCCCCGCTAAATTTTTTTCAAACGAGAGCATTGAAAATCGAAACGATTAATTTTTTCATTTTAGTTCGCCCGCACACATCAACCCGTGATTATATCAAAGTTATTGACGTGAATTATAATAATTCTTTTGAGTTTCGTATCTGTTTTCACGCGTTTTGGTTTAATCGACGGGCGACGAAGTAAATTACATGAGATAATAGGCGGAGAGAATTTAGTTTCGTCGGCAAAGAGAAGCCCCGCGCGTTATTGCGATCGGTGGATAGCGGGGCAACAGCGATCGGGAGAGACAGGTTTCGAAGCGATTGCGGAGAAAGAGTACGCCGATATAGAACGAGTTTGACGAATTTCCATATAAATTCGCTAGGCGCGAGCGCGCGCGCACACACACACACACACACACACACGCGCGCGCGCGCACGGGCCACACGTGAAACGATAGAGCCACACGTGTAATACGAGATATATCTCATCAGGTGAGTTCGTGCTTTCAGTTTTTTCAACGGCGGCCCCGAAAGATACGCACGAGGAATAGCGAAACTTCCGCGACGCGTTATAACGTTCGTGCGCCGAAAAACAAATTGACGAACAGCGTGCGAAAACAATTCAGGCAAAAATCGATCCGATGAATAATGTTATAATACAAATGACAATCAGCGCGAATGATAAATCAAATGTTACGCCGCAACGGAGTAATAACGAAAGGTCAACAACAGCAGCGCACAAAGGTGTTAATTATTACATCCAATGTTTTTTTAATATATTATACACATTAAATATAATTGTTTTATAATTATATTTACAATCATTATATATACATGTATTCAAAATTTTTGTTCACGTTTTCTGTTTCAGCACTCGATGCTGTACTTTTTCCATCACTACGAGCTACCGGTAATTCTGCAACAGGTGCAGCTGCAGCAGTTTATATTTCGCAGCAACACACATCCACCACAGGCGCAACAACAGGCACAGCAGCCACAACCGGCAACGTCCAGATCAGCTCCGACAACTCCAGGTCCGAGATCGTCGCCGTCGAGGACAACGACGACGACAACAACGACGACGACGACAGCCTCGCCTTCGTCGGACGTGGCACCGATTTCCACAACGATGTTGAGGACGCAGCAGAATTACATCAACGAGCTCTCTCAGCTCGATCCGGATCCCGACGAAAGTTCGGAAGAACGACCCGCAACTGCCGAACAATTGTCGTTCGCGACAGCTGATGACAATTCTGTTCGAGGTATGATTTTCTGATTTTCACTTTCTTTCCATCTCCGTCCGATCTCTGAAACACGCGAAGAGTATTACATCCGGTTATACAAATGTTGCAAAGTAGATGTCGATGAATTTTTGTTTCATAACGAACAAAATGTCACATTCTTTTGTGCTTATTCCACCATGACGATCATTTTTAATTTGACAACTCTCTGTAATAAAAGAAACTCGCTTTAATAATTAATAATTTGGCAGAGCGGTCTTTTTCCGTGTGATTGTAGACTGAGTCCGGTTTCAAGAGCCGCGTTTTTTTGCAAAAAGAAAAAAAAAAAAAAGAAACATACTGTACACCGGAGATCGTGATTAAATACGAGTAAAATTTTATCCTTCCCGTTGGTGTTAAAGAGTTAAACGTTAACCGCTCGATATCGTATATTTGATCGAACTCCGATATCACGCGCTCTCTCTTTCTCTCTCACTCTTGCTCACTTCTCCTCCGCGGAAGAGTGTGTGTCTGTGTAGAGGAACAAATTAAAACGGTACATTATTACGGTACATTTAATTATATCTGCCGGACGCGGAACGTACCGCGCGTATATATACCTATTTCAACTTTCAATGGTCGCGGAAAAAAACCTCTCTTTCTCTCTATGACGCGCGCGCTTCCTTTTACAAGCAGGTTTAATTTTTACGAGAGAAGCATGTTAAGACTTTCACATTATTACTCGAACCGATAAAGGTGAAAGAATCTACTTTATTATGTTCTTAAGCGTTTTGTTATTATATATACAGGCGGAGAAGAGAGGCTCTCAATTGGCAGAGCGATTCTTATTGTTTTAGTAAAACTACACATGTTATTATTTAAAAAAAAAAAAAAAAAAAAAAAAAAAAACCAAAAAAACAAAAAAAAACAACTNAACTTGGCACTTTTTATAACGCGTGAAATCGTCGCGTTTGTGATGATCGCTTCAGCGATTCTGCGTGATTACACGCTCCGGCTATAACATTTTGGCTCGCGAGGCGCGCGGCGTTTCACCGGTTTAGAGTTTTGAATGAGCACTTTGTAGATCCTGTGTCAGCGACACTCGTGTCGCTTTGGCGCAGCCTATACATAGTTTCGGCACGCGATACCGCCGCGCGCTATCGTGTTTCAATTCGCGAGCGAGATCCAACTAGCAGCGCTGATTATTTTTCTGGGAGCTTTTAATTTCACCTCTCGTTTCGCGCGCTCTCTCCCGACTCGAATAATCGATAATCGTTTTAACGCGCGCAACCGACTGATACATCGGAAACCAGTTTGTTTACAGCTGCGGTTTGACTTATGACCTCGCTGCCACCTCGCTCGTCATCGACACAGGCTAACACGTCGATAGTTTCGGTTAAATTTTTATCACACGAATATTTACCGTCCGCGCTAACTCCGTACAAAGTACATGTAAATATCGTTTATCCCGCGATTTGTTTCGCGCGCCGGTCTGTAACCACGACGAAACGTGTTTTGCATTGTTTCTGCAGAGTCGGCGAACGGAGAGTTGGCAGAACCGTCGGTATCCTCAGGTTCATCTTCGGCAACCTCGTCAACCAGCGATTCCGTCTCTCCCGACGGCTTCGAGGTGATCGAGACCGCCGAGGCGATGCGCAAAGAAGCGACGTCCGTAGACGAGAAGAAGGAACAGTAGACATTTGATCTTTTGCCGTCACTATGTCGAGCAAGTGCGCTCAAGAAGAAGCAGAGAGAACGCGATTTCCGCGCGCGACTGCTTCCGGTGATTTCTTTATACATCGTTGTGGAAGCTGCACGCGAGTGGAAGATGGAGGCAATTTTCTCTTGTCATGGATCAAAACTTAATTGTAAAATAATATTTTTCCTTATGTAAAAAGAACGGACAAAGTTTGTTCGATTTCAACGAAGACAAGCTTAATATATATGTGTATATATATACACATATGTATATATATATATATACACACATATGTATAGAGAAAAATCGGTTTCTTTGAGATTGGTATATCGATAGGTATCCGCGCTTCGAGGGGTTCAGAAACCAACCAACAGGGACGAACGAAAAGACGAAGATTTGTGCCAGTTACCTTCCTTAATGAATACTTTTAATCAATTTTTGAATTTCAGAAAAACACACAATGCGGGATTGTATTTGGATAGAGAGTTATGTATAATTTGTTGTCGGAGATACAACAGTTTTTTTGTTGGAAGGCACATAAACAACAACGTTAATTTCTCACGAATGTGAAGAAAGAAGACACGATGTTTTTTCTCACATCGTGTTTTTTTTTCTCATTTAGTTTATCACATTTGCGAACTTATTAACTACATTTGTGTACGATACGATAAATTGTTTTGCAAAATTGATTCGCACGTGCACACATTTGTTTTGTGATGCAATCCGATACGTGTTGCGGCGCGAAAGAAGCATCGAAGATGCGCTTCGGTTTACGCTATGCGCGCGATTACGGAAAATTTATAATTTAGGCTCGGTTGAAGGATTGAATCGTGCAAACGAACAATTCGAACATTGACGAATATTATAATTGGCGATGTCTGTGACAAAAGAAGAGCAAGTTGTTCGGATCGTTCGATTAATCGTAAAAATTTTCGAGCCGTAATTATAATTAAGAGCAAATCACCAAAAGTTTCTCTGAAGAAAAAGTCTATTTGCTTCAGACAAATTGAAATGGTGTTCGCACTTATCTTCGCGTTCTCTTCGTCACTTGAAGACATTGAAAAAAAAAAAGCATCTGTCGGCGAAATCGGTAAGATATTGGCGCAAACGAGTCAGTGCCTTCGTTGGACCGCTCTCCTTCACACACTTGTTTTCGCTTCTTTTTTGTAGTTTACGAATAGAAATAATACTTTTCTCTCGCACGCGGATGCAGATTTTCACACTGAACAAAACATCTCGATGATAAAAAGAAATCTGACATGATTAACGAAACGGTGAACATCGTTATGTGCGATCGATGTAGTTTTTTTTTTTTTTTTGACCACTGTGTTTAGTTTTCGCAATCAATTTCAGAAATCTTTCTCAGTTTACTTGACTACGTAAGAATTTTCTCTTTGTGTAAATTCGTACGCAGTCAATCCGTGATATATCGTTTTATATCGGACTTTGCATTGTTATTTTATTATGTTAATTAGAACTTTCTCTCGAGAATGTTTTGCTCAATCTGTAGATAATGCTGATAACTTCTTATGTTTTATTTTAGAATTTAACCAATTGGGTTAACGCAGGATTAATCACATGCTGCAATTTACGGTGTAAAAATGTTGGGATTTTTGTATAAGTAATGTAAGTAATATAATTGATAAACAATATTTTATCCGATTAGTGGCACATGTACAATTGGTGTTGATCGTGTAAAATCGCGAGATAAAAAAAAACAAAAAAACAAAAAAACAAAAAAAAATTGTTTCTGACGAAATCGCCGATGTCGCGTCTTTTTGACCTTGATGCGTCGTTACCTAGGATCAACGATACTTACGCAATGTGAAAGCTTATTGTATGATATGTATGTTTTTTCTCTCGGGGTCTCATGTGTGTGACGTTTGACGTTTGATATAGAAAATGTGATAATTTTAATATATGAAGATCACAGGGAGAAGAACTTGATATAAGTCAAATTTTTGTAATTTTAGAGGAGAGCGATTTTAAAGTTCGAAACGTACATGTATTTCTGTGTTACACGTTTCATAAAAATATTTATATCTCGGAATCTATCAAAAATTTCCCTTTTTTTCGCTTTGTGGATAATTGAAATATCCCATTTTAATTATCAAATAACATCAAAAACAGAGAATCGAAAAAAATTGACTTATCGAATTCTTCTTCTGTGATCTTCATATTGTTGGCAAATCGAAGAAACGGCATGTTGTAGTTTGTTACCGTTACGTTGATTCGTGAACCGCGAACGCGCGCATACAAATTAATGTAATGTAAACTGTCAACCGTGAGAGCGCGTGAACTTATTAATGTAAACTCTGCCGATTTGGCACACACACACACACACACACAATAACACACACACACACACATCATCCGCAGCACATTGTAAAATGTATGTAATTAAGGATTGTATTATTTGCGAGCGTGCGGGACGTGATATGATGATGATGAAAAAAAGAACCATTATTGCGCGAAATTTGTACGGATGTGCCCAGTGATGACAGGTACAAAGAGAAGAAAACAGGTAGAACAAAAAAAAAAAAAAGAAAAAGAAAAAAAGAGTTACTACTAAAAGAGTATATATATACATATGTATAGACCGATATTGCCGTTTTATTGCCTTTCCTCTTCTCCCTGAGTCACATTTGTCGATTGATCACGCACGTATTAAATAATGCTGCTTTTTTCCATTATTTGCATCATTTGCTTAGTTTCGGATCTTCCGGATTTGTCATTTATTTTAGTTGTACATATTATCAAATATATACACATATATATTGTCATTAAATATATAAAACTTGAAAATTCATGTATATTTTTATCAAGTTTTTATACTTAATGATTATAAATATATACATATACATATATATATAAAATATATATATATATATATATATATATGTACATTGTTAAGACTATTTATATATTATCCCTACTATAATATGTACACATTAACTGTTATATATTATTAATATATTACACAAATAAATGAAGAGGTTTTATATGTCTCGATTTATTATCGATTCGATTGCGTTATATTCCGATACATATACGATTTGATTATACCATCTCGGGTAACAGAACCAAGAACGAACTTCTGTCGCGTAAAACGCCGCTTCGACCCGCACGGCGAATTCGAGATTTAAAAGAGATTCTCGCGAAATTGAAATTGATTGTTCAACTTGAAGGCGCGTAAGGCGAAGAATACAACACACACACACACACACACACAAAAGAGAGCGGAGGGAAGATGCTGTCCAAGTCGCCGGGAAAGAGTCGAAGCGCGGAGAGGAGGGAGGACAAACCGAAATAGACAAATAGACACTGCTATCCCTTTGAGAGAATCAAACAGGTGGCGTAGAGTACGAAGATAACACGGGGGTGGAACGGAGAAAGGAGAAAGAGAAGACGGGGAAGACGAACTGCGTGGGCGATGGAGACCGGGGGAGAGTGCGGGCGATTCGTGGAAATGTCCAAAGAGACACGACACTCCTACAAATGTAGCGATTTATTTTCATTAAGACATAATTAGGAGTGAGTTGCGCCGCGATCCGATCCGAACTTCTCCCCCGTTCCATTATATCGTCGTTGTATCTCGTGGACACATGTATACGCGACACACACAAACACGCACACACAAGCAGCGACATGTCGCGCTCACACCGTTGGGCAGCTTAGTATTTCAGCTTAGTATTTCAAAGATGTATAATCTCTCCGCGCGTCCGGGATTTTCCGTGAAAATTGTCACAAATTAATTTTCTACCCGCTATAGAATTCGTCATATAAAAGAAACGGTTGCGATTATCTCCGTGTCTCTATTGATAAAAAAAAAAAAAACTCCCAAAAAATATTTTGAAACGTATCGTTGCGTAATTATAATAAATAGTGTCTCTCAGAGACGATTTTTGTTGTTGCAACGATTGTGTCCGTGTCAATCATCTTAATTATTGCTGCGCTGCCCTGTCGTGGTTTTGTACGTATGCGCGACGCTACGCGTAACGCATCGGTTTCTTTGACGGAATTGGAAAGGGTCAGAGCGAACAATCCGGGATAGTTGAGAACAGCAGCGGGAGGAACAGTATGGGGGTATAGGCTATGTATCGGCAAGCAGCTAGCAGGGGCCACTTCCGTGTGTCCCGGAAACTCGCGCGGAGACTCGACTCTGCAGTTGCAGAGTCGTGTCAGGAAGGGGAAGCAGGATGGAAACAGAAAGCCCACGGGGGCTGAATTTGCATCCGGCAAAGCAACCTCGGACTACTTTATTTGATTGGCTGCCCGCAGGGCTGCCTTCTGTCCCTACATGGACAAACCCACACGGATCTCCCTTTCATGTTTCCATCCTCGCCCTCTTTCTTCCCACACCTCCGTATCTTATTTTTTTTATTTTTTTTTATTTTTTTTTATTTTTATTTTTTTTTATTTTAAACTCTATCTCATTCTGTTTCTCTCTCTCTCTCTCGTCATTTTGTTTCTTCGAAACTATTCTCACCCTCTCCTTTTGCTAAATTTCCATTGAAACCGTACATTTGTTTGACGATGATAGACGTACAGAAACGAACTTCGCTCTACACGACTTTTTGTGCGAGAGCAATTGCGATACGCTGCTCGCGAGTCTCTTTTTCTTCTCTCTCTCTCTCAAAAAAATGTGGAAAATATACTAGTATATAAGCCAATCCTCAATCTATTTAATTTCTTCTCTCAAGAAGGCAAGGCGTTGGCGCCGAACACTGAGGAGAAACGGTGTTGTTGTTGCGCGCGCGTTGTTCGTGGGCGTTTTCGCAAGGAAACCAATTTTAATCAGCAGATTAAAGTTTGGTTTTTAGAAAAAAAAAAAAAAAACACTGCTATCTTTGTGAATTAAATATTTCGTTAAAAGTGACTCGCGGACGCGTTTACAATTAAACAAATGAAAAGCGTCCTCTGAAGCGTTTTACAAATATCCATTTTGTAATGAATAAAAGAGGTCCTTGTGAAAAAAAATCACATATGTACATCGCTACTCACTTCGCGAATGTGTTATTTGTTGTTTTTTTTTTTTTTTTGCGCTCGTTCAAAAAATATTTAATGCCGCAGATGAAAATGTTGCGTCACTTCGTCGCTTAATCGGGTATATACGAGGACGCGGAAGACGGCGGCGGAGAGACGTGGTAGATAGTTGGACGACGACGACGACGCTCGGGCGCATCGATCGGTTTTCATCCTGTCCACCAACGACGATGCTCGACGTCGAAATAATCATCCGCTTTAATAAAAACGGCTTATCCCGCGAAACAATGGACTGTCGCTCACAGAAGCCGCGCCAAGCACGCGGGCGTCGCGGGCATCGCCGGGCTTGTCTTCCTGCGCAAAGTACTCCAACCGTCGTCGTCGTCGTCGTCGTCGTCGTCGTCGTCGTCGTCGTCGTCGTCCGCGCGCTCGTTCAGCGTCTACCATACTCCCCAAGAATTAAGCTGTTTTAGCATTACCCCCCGTTACGCGCGCGCTAAAACAAGCCGTCTTAATACACGAGGCTGCCTCAAGTTCCGCGAGACGCACTCGAAATTAAATCACCCTCTTGACGCAATTAGAACTTGATTCGCGAAAACGCGCTGTAGTCCGAGCTGTACAACAAACAAACTCGCAGGACTGACAAGAAAGAAAGAGAGAGAGAGAGAGAGAGAGACATGAAAGTTGGCGCGTTATTGACTTCGGGATATTGCCGAGTTCTATGAGATGGGATCGATTATACTTAAAAAGTACTGACATTAGTTGTACACGCGCGCACTGAGGAAATTAAATATTGACTATATCGATGATCGATCATAGGCAATTCTCTAATAAATCTCATTTGACATTTTTTTCTCTCTCTATCTCTTATCGACAGATTATTTTGTTTTGATGTCCTTGGAACGTTACTTGCACACTCACGCAAATCCGTTTCCTTCGATTGAATTTCATAAGTGCTTTATATGTATACAGAATAGAGTCACGATTGTGCCTTCGAAGACTTTGACACTCCAAAGAGAGAAAACATGACAATTTTTTTTTTTTTTTTTTTTTCACAAGGCGATATTACAAGTTTGTGTCTTTTTTTTGTGAGACTAGATTTTTTTCTGATTAAACGAGATTTTTATTTTTTTTGATACGTTATAGGTGGTTCTTTGAAGAGCAGTGTAAGCTGCGGCATTCAATTTCAGTTGACTCTTATATAAATTCGTATATTTATCTCAAAGCGTAGCACAAAGGAGATTTGAACGGGGGAAGGGAAGAGGGGAGGAAGAGAACTTTTGTTCCCTGATGCGTGCCGTTTTTATTCGCCGTCGCTCGGAATGTCAGCTGTGCAATTTCGAGAGGTATTAGATGCGCGTTTCCCGGACTAAGCCGAGCATTGCCGGAGGAGATCTCATTAATTAGCTAATGGCTTCCCAAGTCTTCTCAGGTACATGCACGCCGCGTATAGACTGCACGACGACGACGACGAGTGCGGGTAATTCTTCTGTACGTCGTTATAGAGCATTCGCAAATTCGTTCATCAGTAATGTAATGCGATTCTTTTTTTTTTTTTTTGATTTTTGTTTTCAAAGGAACGTGACGACGCGCGAAGATTAAAAAAAGTAAACGGTATAGTATTTGTGCAGACAATTTTTGTTTTTAAAGTTGTTCCTTCTTTAGAAATTCCGAGATTTCGTATTGATTTTTCTTGCAAAAACAGAAATTGACACAAGTTTAATGCGCAAGATCAACGGTTGATGATTTCGAGTGTTATCCTCCGCGTCGGCTTCGTGTCTGCGCCAAGAAGTCTATACCCTTGATTCCCGCCGGAAGTTACCAACTTCGTGTCCTGTGGTTCCGCTTGATCGAATTAATCCCGAATTAAATTCCCAATTTAATCAAATCACCCTCTATGTCTGATTTCACATACGGTTCTGTTTTCATGTGCGCGCGTCGTATCGATACTTTCGCGGCGTACGTGCTCTTTCTCCTTCTCCTCCTCCTCCTCCTCCTCCGGCGTCTGGCCAATAATACCCAATTATCCCCGAATATTTGTGACAACAATTGGACAAATAAGCAAATAACGCAAGTTATGTCTCGTGTGCTTTATCTTTCTGCGTTTCTAATAAAATTGCAAATGCTATCGGAACTTTATTTACGTTGACAATGAGGAATCAACTTGGTGGACGTTTCTGCATCTGACGTAGCTTTCGTATAATGAAGGATTCTGATAAAGGATTCTAACAAAGGATTCCAATAAAGGATTCTTTGCAAATTATCTGACTCAAGGTTTTTTTTTTTTTTTTTAAGTAATCTTCTTTATTGATAAAATGGTTACATTGTTTCTTGACCGAAAATTTTGCGTGCGTCAATGTATCGCTGAAAACGCTCACAGATTTACGTGTACGGTGTGAAATAAAAGAAATATATGTGTATAAATATTGCAAATTACAAGATAAAATGGTTAAACAGATTCGACGCTCGCGGCGCAAAGCGAGTTTCTTCTGACCCTCACTCGTGATTGACGATTTCATCGTACCCAAGTCGTCTATCGCGAGATTTGCATCGCGATAATCGCGTTATTTGTCACACTTGAAAATCTTCGCCTCTCAACAGGTAGTCGATAATTTCACGAATTTGCAAGCGCGTTTCGTTCGTGCGTTGAAGCAAACTCTTTATACTCTTGTAAAAGAAAAAGTTATCTCTAAAGTTATTTTTGTTTTATATACACGGCGTACACTTCGTTCATTATTTTCCCGACATGTGCCGTTTTACGGCTCATTTAATAAACGGATGTACGAGAGAGATTGAGTTTTATAACAGTGAATTATAAACTACACTTTTTTAACGTATAAATTTCACGCCGAATTCCTCTTCTCCCACTCCCGTTTTAATGAAGATATAACATGTATACTCTGCCGAAGTACTTCTCTCTCTCTCTCTCTCTCTCTCTGACAAGCGAAACTCTTATTCGCCCCGGCTTTTCCTCAGCCACGGCGAAATTACGCGGAGGGTTCAATGTTACACTATGTCCCAATTATAAAGTACTCATTGTGCGTGGAAATACCACCCGGTTTCCGGCAGAGAACACGGTGGAATTTTTAATAACGCGATATTTCCCCCGCATTAGTCGTATTTCATATTGGATATTAAATTATAAACTAAATTTAATCAGCGATCATTTTTTTTTTAATCGCCACGTACGCGTACGTAGCGTCAAGTACTTCATATTTGTTTGCGCTTCTTCAAATACGCGTATATCGTAATCATACTTTAATACAGGGCAAATGAAACGTGCAAAATGACAATGCCAACGCGCATTGAATACATCACTCTTGTCGAATATTATTTATTAATTAATTAGTAGAATTTTATGGAAACACACAAAATGTATTCGACGCAATGCTAAAAGGAAGCAATAATTCGATCTATTCGGTCAGAAAAAAAAAATAAATAAATAACTCGTCGAAGAAGTCACGTTCGGTCGGTTTATGAAATACATTCGCAATTCTCTTTAGGATTCCGTAATGGCGGGTTATTCCGTCTGGTTAAGCTCCTTTTTCCTTCTCGGAGAACCGAACGACGCGCTTTCCTTCTTACGCAGTTGACACATGAGCCGTTGAATTGGAAATCCTTCTGCTACGGTCCAACACAGAGGCAAGTATTTTCTACTCAAGTAGGAAGCCTCCGACTGCTCTGACTGCTGCTGCGTCGCTCTCTCTCTCTTTTCTCTCTCCGCACCGATATACGGAGGGACAAAATATAATTGCCCGGTGTACAAAGGAGGTATCCTGGAATAATAAAAAAAGATACATACGTGTGTCTGTGTGCGATATATATGCGAGCATAGGAAGCCGTGCATCGAAAGAATGAAAAAACGAAGAGAAGCCGGAATATGCGCGACGACGCGTGGAGAAGTCGCGTTTGATGTTATAGGTTGTTCGAAATATATTCGCGTTAAATCGGTCGCGTTGCATAAAATACTCACTCGCGAGGGTGAGGGACTCGGGGCTTTTTATTCGCAACGCGACGGTATGTATTATTATGCTAGAGTTCGCGAAAGAGACGAATAATATCGTCGTTGATGTCTAATTGCTAACATTTCGCATATTTTTTTGGTAAAAAATTTTTCCTCTCAAGTTCCTCAAAAAAAAAAAAAAAAAAAATATTAACAAATTTTTAAAAAAGTTAGACAATAGGTGGTGAGCGTTTAAAGCATTTGCTCCGCCTTGCTTCATCTCGGCATTTTCTTTCTGCTCCATTACCTCTTCATATTCTCCCCTTTTTCTCGCGAGATTATTCGCTTATCGGTTCATTGTGGATTCCTCCTATCCTTTATGAGCAGCGGTCGCTTCCCGTGCATGCTAAATATCTCGTTCCTCGCTACTTCCACCATTCGTTTCAGCACTTGCCTTCCTTCGCATGTAGACGCGCGCCACTTCACATAGTCACGACGACGGGAACAAGCCGTATATGGGGTAAGTATGTAGGGTAGGCGGTTACACGCAACGGCGCAATGTGCGAGACTTTGCCCTTTATTCGAATGCATAGACAACGAGTAACTCAATCGTTCTACCGAACGCAAAACTCTCGGAACTTTATTAAAATGATAATATTTCTCTCTCTCTCTCTTTCTCTCTCTCTTTTTCTTTTTCTCTGGCGCTCACACTGTATTTATAATTGCAGTAATAACGCGCAAAACACACACGGAGATGGCATACTAATTCCGGAATATATTAATGGACACGAGAATTTTTAAAAATAAATCCTCTGTGTTTATGAAAGACTATAAATTCCCATCGATGACGTCAGGCTATTACGTTCGACGTAGTACGCGACAAGAAAAAGATAATATAATTTCTACATGCTTCACCCCCTCGGTGTTCGATTATCGATTCACGTCACTTTAGTTCGTTCTCGTTGTGCGGTGCTGCCGTTGCCGCTGTCTGTTGTTTTATAGTAAAATTTGTGTGACAAATTTCTAGCAATTTCGAAAACGCAAATGTAATGTTTATGAAAGTGCGGCTATTTGTCTAAATCTTAAGAAACTTTCTTTTTATATTACTTTTTTGTATTATTCTCTTTCAGAATATTTAGATGCTGTTTTTTCCTTCTTTTTTTTTTTTTACGACTCGCATAAATTATCGTGATAAAATGTCGATTCTTCTTCTTTCTCTCGTGTGCGCGCGCACTCGTATAATTACAAACAATTAAACCAATTTGCTTTACAAAGCATTCTTTATTTGCTTCTGTCGTATCAGCTGATTGTCTGAAATGTAATATCAATTTTCGGTATTTTTTATTTAAAACAGTATCTCAATTTGCAAAATCTGTGCTGTAAAAGTCAAAATTATCAAATATTTCTGCCACTTTAACGAAGTATCAAACAATTGTATCCCATTCGCGCAATATAAAAAAAAAATAAAACTGCTAATCAACGTATAGTAGCGAATCGAAAAACGTATTTGAAATTACATAAAATTTACTTTGCAGTGATAAAAGAGGTATGAACATTCGAATTAAATGTTTTACGTATGTGAAAAAGTTAATTTATACATCGATAAAAAACAATCTCACTGATAAATACAATCTCTTTTTCCTTTTTTTTTTTTTGACGTGTATTTTTATGTAATTGATTAGTTGGGCGGAGAAAATAAACCACCCGCGTAAATTTTGATAACCGCGATGATGCAATTCAAGGACTCGTTAACGCAAAACTTTCCTTTCAGAAGCGGTAACAGTTTTGATTTTTAGACGAGAAAGAGAGAGAGAGAGAGAGCGAGAGAGAACCTGGGCCGCTCGCGCGAGTCGTGTTCACCAAAATGAGGAGCGACACGAACATCGTTATAAAAAGCGCAACTAATTATACAACTACGAGCGAATTAGTTGCCAGTCAGAGGCGAATCGGCATGAACATCGCGAGCATTGCCGGTAATGGGAAAACATTCTGAAAACTTTCTGTTTTCCCAGTGCGTATTAATTTTCATATCCGCGTCTCGTTACCATGGCTACGGTCATAGTCAGCAGGAGTAATAAGTTTTGGAATAATTTTACGCACAGTCGATCGTATGAATTCGCTCTCTCTATTCTCCAACCCCTCCCCTCCCTCTCTCGGTTTTTCCCTCTCGGTTTTCTTTAACTCCCGGCCGTTCTATCGCGGTTCCACTCACGCGTGTTACACTCCGTTTAACCTTTGTATTCTCCAGCCACTTCCTTCCCTACCTTTTTTTTTTCTTCGTGCAACACGCACGCGGACTCGTAATGCGATCAACAATTACATTTAAAGGGCGGATATATTTTTTTATTTATTTATTTATTAAACTTAATCCATGCCTTTCGGCTTTGGATGGCTTCCGGTTGCTTTACACTTTACATTTCATTTCTTACATTTTACCTAGTTACATTTTTATCTCTATATATCTTAATAACTTTCACTTTCGTTTTCATTTTAACGTATTAACATTTTAACGCATATATCACCTGTGATACAGATAATTTAATTTAATTTAATTTAACTTAATTTAATATATTATAATATATAACTCCTTAGTACAGTAATATAGTATAGTAATATATAATACTGCTAATTATCACTGTTCTTATTCCTATTCCTAATTCTAGTATTGCTTTTCCCCTTTCTCATCCCTCGCAGTTCATACTGTCCTTGCTCTTAATATCACTCTGTCTTTAACCCCTGTATATCTCTGCTTCTTTGGTCCTCTTTGGTCCTCTTCATTCTTTTCTTTTCTCTTCTTTCCTCCCCTTCTTTCTCTTTCTTGTCTTCCATTTCTTTTTCCTTTTCTTTTTCTTTTTCTTTTTCTTTCCTTATTTCATCTATTCTCCTCATTACTTCACAGCCTTTCCCATCTTCGCTTAAAAACTCTTCTTCTGATATTTCTTCTTTCGTTTTTTCGCACTTCTTCAGTACATGTGTTAGGTCCTCTATTTCAACTCCGCATATTCTACACATCCTTTCCTCCTCTGTCAGCCAATGTTGGTTCCCTTTCATTTCGTTCCCGCATCTGTATCTTGCTATCCTTGTTCTTTCCTTCTTGTTTTTCTTTCCTCTCAGGTATGCCGGTGCTGCTTCTGTTCTTGCTTTTTTATAGCTAACGTTGTACCTCGATTCCTCCATCTTTTTCCTTCTTTCCTCCTTATCTTTCTTTTTTATTTTCTCTACTATTTCCTGCACTATCTCCTTCATCTCCTCCCTCTCTCTCCTCTCTTTCAACTCCTTCTTGCTGATACCCACGTCTATCATCACCTCTTTTCTCCATTTCTCCCACCTACTTTCTTCCCCTCTTTCTTCCCCTCTCTCTATCTCTTTCATGCACTCTACCACCAGCTTCTTTTTCGACTGCCGTGCCTCCTCTTCATATTTCACCGCTCTTTTTATGGCCTCCAGTCTTAGTTCCTTCGTTTTTGTCTCCTCTTTTACAATATAGTTCGGCGTTCTTCTATCCAATCCCAGTATCCACTTTATGTATTTTCTCGTCACTTTATCCAGTCTTTCTTCCTTCTTCCACCCCCATATTTCTGCGCCATATAATGCCACACTACCCACCAGAGCGTTGTACATCTTCATCCTTCTTCTGTAGTCCTCTTTAAATACTCTTTCCCCGATGCTCCACGTCTGCTTCATCGCTATTACCGCTCTTCTCATCCTTTCCTCCACATGTTTCTCTGCTCCTCCGTTTTTCTGTAGTATGTATCCTAAATACCTTATCTCCTTCACCTCTTCTATCCTTTCTTCTCTCCAGTTCCACTTTCTCGCCTTTTTTTTCCCTTTTCCTCTCTCGAACACCATCACTTTTGACTTTTCTGGGCTTAAAATCATTCCTTTTCTTTCTAAATACTTCCTGAACCTTCTCATCATATTCTTTAGTTCTTGTTCGCTCCTTGCCAGCAGCACGATGTCGTCCGCGTAAGTAATCGTCCAGACTTTTTCTTCTCCTATTGGAACTCCACCAAATTGCTCTTTCCTCATTTCTGCTTCCAGATCCATCAGATACACGTTGAACAGTGTTGGGCTCATAGGGCATCCCTGTCTGACTCCACTTCTCGTCCAGAACTCCTCCGATTTTCCTTTTCCTACTTTCACTTTGTTCTTCGTTTCTTTATAGGTCTCCATGATTCGTTTTCTAAGCTGATCTCCAATTCCCGCCTTTTTCAGCATTTCTCCTAGTTTAACCCTATCCACCTTGTCAAACGCCGCTTTTAGATCAGCGAAGAATGCGAAGATCTTCCCTTTCTTTTTTGCAATTTCTTTGTTTGCTATGAAGTTCAGGATGTAAATTGCGTCCGTCGTGCCTCTTCCCTCCCTGAAACCAAACTGTCCTTCTTCCAATTTTTCCTCTACTTCCCTCTTCAACCTATCATTTAGGATGTTTGCGTATATCTTGTACGCCGTGTCCATCAGGGTCACCCCTCTGTAGTTCTTTACTTCGCCTTTCTCTCCTTTTTTGAATATAGGGCTGATTATCCCTCTATTCCATTCTTCAGGTATTCCTCCTTCCCTCCATATCTTCCTTATCAGTTTCAAAAATACTTCNCCTATTCTCTCTGGCATTAGCCTCCACGCTTCATTCTCTATTCCGTTTTCTCCTGGTGCCTTTCCTTTCTTCAGCTTTCTTAGTTGTTTCACTAGCTCTTCCTTTGTTATTTCTTCTATCTCCTCATTACTCTCTCCTGTCCTATTCTCCTCATTTTTTTCCTCATCTCGTTCCTCTTCCTCTTCCATCATCACTCTCTCCTTTGTTCCCCCTAGTAGNTCCATGAAATGTTCATTCCAGGTGTGCAGCTCTATCCCCTCATCTACTCTTTCTTTCTTCTTTCTGTATTTATTTATGTACTTCCACGCTTCTTCTTCTGTTCTTATGGATCTTATTTTTTCTTCCTCTTCCTCCTCGTGTTTCTTTTTCTCCCCTTCGCACCATTTTCTGTACTCTTTTCTCTTTCTTACATACTCCTCCCTTTTTATCTTGTCTTTCTTCAATTTTCTTAGTTCCTTTCTTAACTCTCTTTTTTTCTTTTTCCATTCTTTGCTGTGCCATTCCNTTCTTCCTAACCTCCATGGCGTTACCTTTTTCTTGACCCTCGTTATTGAATTTTTTACTTTATCTTCCATTGCTAACCACATCTNCTCTGTATTTGTCTCCGTGCATGTCCACCCCTCGCATTCTTCATGATAGTGCTCTATCCCTTCCACCGACCATACGCTTCTTTCCACCTCCATACAGCCGCTTTCTTTTATTCTTCTTCTACTTATTCCTTCTATTTCCACTTCCATTGGAACATGNTCCGATTCTGTTCTGCTTCCTTCCTCCACCTTTCTCACCTCCTCTATAGCCTTTTCATTCGTTACCACATAATCTATTACCGATGCTCCTTGTTCTCCTATGTATGTCCAATTCCCTTGTTTTCCATTGCTTCCGTTTAGTATCATCCATCCTCTTTCCTTCATCTTGTCTATCAGTCTTCTCCCTTCTCTGTTCACCACCTTGTCTCTTGACCTCCTTGTTTTCTCTTCCTCCTTTTTTCCGTATCCTATTGGTCCACCTTCTTCCCCGGTTCTAGCGTTAAAGTCTCTTCCTAGCATTAAATACCCCTCCTTGTCTTCCTCTATTGCCTCCTCCAGGCTGTCCATTGTTTCTTCTATGTTTTGACTGTACAGAGTGATTATCCTCCATTTTTTTCTGTTGTATGCCATGCTTATCTCCATTGCTCCTTTGTTTATTACTTTTACTTTTACTCCCTTCAATTCCTTGCTAGTTGCCACGATTATCCCTCCTTTGGCTCTTCCTTTCACGCACTCCCTTGTCGCCGGTATGCAATTCCACTTGTATTTGTTTGGTACTCTCTTTATCCATTTCTTCCACGTTTCTTCTTCTATCCATGTTTCTGTCAGACCTATAATATCAAATTTTTCCAAATACTCCCATGTTTCCTCACANTTGTTTGCCAGTCCCGCAATATTCCAGAAACATATTTTTAGTCCTTCCTCTTTGTCCTCCTCCTTCTCTCTTTCCTGCTTCTCCCCTCCTCAATCTCTTTTTTCCCTTCCTGTTTCTTCCAATCTCCCTNCCTTCTCATTCCATCTATACCACTTCTCTTCCATCTTAATTTTCATGTAACCTACTTTCACTTTATCATCTCCCTTCTCTCTTTCTTCCTTTGCTATTCCTCTTAGCCTCTTCTGTATCTCTCTTTCCTTCCTTGTCAAATCGTCATCTATTATAATTCCTTTGTCTAATCCTTTTTTCTTACTCATGATTTCTCTTTTTTGCTCCCATTTATCTATCTCTGCAATCACTATGTTTTTACTTCCATTTATTCTGATCTTGCTTACCTTTTTTACTGCCACTTCTATCTTCAGGCTATCCTCTATGAATTCTTTCACTTCCTGTTCTAGCCTTTCCCTTTTATCCTCTCTCCACTTCACTCCTTTTATAACTACATTGTTCTTCCTTTCTCTTCTCTCTTTCCTTTCATTGGTCCATTCCAGTTCCCCTATTCTCTTCTCTAGTAACTCTTTTTCTTGTCTCCACTCCTCTCTCTCTTTTCTTCTTTCTTCTTCTCTTGTCCTTCTTTCTTCCACCATCTGTTCCTTCATTCTTTCCATTTCTTCTCTCATTTCTTTCCTCATTTCCTCTATCTCCATTATTATTCTCTCGAATCCTTTCCTCCACATTTCGTCTCCGCCGGTGACATATTTCTCTAGTGACTTTTCGTCTCCTCTGTTTTTACTCCTGCTTCCCGCCTGCTTTCCCGCTGTCGGCGCCATCTGCTGCTTCCTTTTTCTTCCACCTTCTCCCGCCTTTTCTCACTTTTACTTAACCTTTCTACTCCTTACTTTTTCCGCCTTGAAAAACTCTGCTTTCCTTTTGTTGCTCCCTTTGCCTTCTTTTCCTCTTCTTCTCTCTCTCTTCCTCTCTCTTCTCGTTACCACTATTCCCACTCAACTCGCTACTTTCCACTTTTATCTCACTTTTTCTACTCGATACTGTGTATGCCCTTGTGTCTTTCTCGCTAGCTCCACCGGAAGTCCCCAAAGGGCGGATATATAATGTGTGTGTGTATATTATATATATATATATATATATATATATATATATGTGTGTGTGTGTAATAACGTATTTACACACTTACAAAGGGAATTCTACAAAAGCAAGGTTTTTTTAATCCGATAATCGGTATAACCACTGGAATATTTGCGGAATACGTAATGGAATTTTTTTCCTATCTGATTCCCATAATTTCGAAAATTTTCTCATTCCATATGGATGGGAAATCGGGAAGGCGCGCGAGTGTTTTAGCGATGACTGTAATCATCTCGACGCGTGCGTTCGCTCATCGGATGGGATATTACATATTTCTGACTTTTGATCTTGTTTGCGTTGAATTATGCACGGCGATGCGGTGGAGAGAGAATGTGTATCTTACTAAATACCGTTCATCATCATCGTTCATCACTTTCCGCTTCGAGTTTCTAGCGTCCATTTGTCGGGGCGCGCGCGATGTTTGCCGCTGTTATTTGCACAAGCTTCGCGCGCTCGACTCTGTTTCTCATCAAAGGCGATTTTCGTATGAACGTAGTTCGCGTACCTCCTATTATGAGGGTCTGATAAGTGCGCGTTATCGTTTCGCTCGAACGCTTACGCGATGCTACTGCTGCCGCTACTTTTGTTTTATGCGCGATGAGGTAACGCGCTCCGCGTTTTATCATGCCGATCAGCGAGAATTATACGCAACTTGAAATCTAATTCTCGAAATGAGAGACGCCGTCTCTCCTTGAGAGGAGGCAAGGAACAATAAGTCTGTGAGAAACAAACGATCATGTAGATTTAAAGTGTCTTACGTAATCGCTCTTGATTGTTGTTTGTTAACGCGTCGCCTACCGCCGGAATTACTGAATTGGTCGCGGAGGCAGCACGTAGACCAGCAATCAGGACCAAAATAGCAGACGGTGACCGCATCAATGTCGTTATGTAGTACGTGGTTATGCTATTAGCTGTAAATCATGTAAGCCGTGTTAATAGTCTATACGTCCGGTAGATTAACGCTCTCATTCACGCCGTTTAATGATTCCAACGCCGATCCAACGTGTTTCGAGCTGTCTGACAAAAGGTAACGACCAGGTGGGAGCTTTGACAGGCAATACATTACTCTCCGTGTTTATTGATATTTGCTGTAAATGTTCCACATCGCGCTGTATCCTCTCTGTATATATTTTACCCCCGTCGGTTGACAGAGAAACTGCCAATTAACAGCTAAAACAAATTAAAACTCGTCAAAATAAATCGGATCTCAAATTCCTTATTTTGAATTTACAGAAATGTTCCAACTAGTTTTTGTTTTGCGACAAATTTTCAAATTAAATTCAATTCAAATTATCGTGCGTATTAATTTACACGTTTCAATAAATGAAATAAAAAAAAATATATATATATATATATACAGAGAATTAAAAATAATAACAAGTAAAACGTTTCCTCGAATCAAATTGACGACAAAACTAGGATGTATACATTCACTTCTGGTTGGTTCAAGTTTTGTTCCGTTTTGACTTTGTTAAAGTCTGTTCCGAGCTGCTTCTTCGATCGCGAGCTCATTATTTCTAAAACACGTTTGCCGCATAAACGCGATTGTTCGTTAATCGACGTCCGAAGACGGAACGCGCGAACGAAATTCCTCGTTCCGATGTGCGAGCGAGATATTATAATCACGTTGTACTATCGATTGACGTGTGTCGGAGGGTTGGGCACGGTCTGGTATGAGGCGAAGGAGGGTGAGTGTTAGATGGAAGGAAGTAGAAGCCGGCAGGGAGAAGACGCCCCCTAATAGAATGCCAATATGATTATGTGTGCCATGCTGCATCCAAACCACGATCCATGGTGCGCGTACTAGTTGTACTCTTCAATACAGCCGCGCGCGCGGCTGTGCCTTGGGACTAAAAGTGTGCGCGATACACCTTCTCGGTTTGTTCCTCCGATATTCTATATAATCGAGCGGCTACACGTGTAGACTTTGTTACATATCTAAAAAAATACACAGAAAGAAATACAAGAATTACAGGAAAAATTGTGCGCGTGTGTAAAAGCGCGCTTATCTATTCGAAACCGCTTTGACTTTATTGACACACGCAATTTTCGCACATCGCCTTTCTGCCGCGCACGTAAAATTTTAAATGTATATATTATATATTACGCGCGTATCGACATACGAGAGACGCGATTGTGTTTTCTCTCGTCGAGTTTCGTGTCCATCGATTGCCCGCAAATTTATTCTATTTGCGCGTAAATGTCGCGCGGCGTTGCATTAAATTCCCGATTTATAATGTGTTTTCCGGCGTGTAGAACGCGCGCTAAATCAAGCAAGTCACGTGTGGTGCGGACGGGGCCGCGTTATTGTCGCGCGTCAGGTCGGCACGCGCGCGCGCGCGCGCGAACCGAAGCGGAAAATTATTCGAAATAGATCGGATCCGAGCGTCGTCGTTTCGGATTCTATTTGCTGCCGTCGTTGACGTATTTCTTGAAGCTTTGCGCGCGTTTCAGCTGCAACTCGCGTCTAACGAAGTTAAGTCCGTTCACTTTGCCGTTAATCGATCACCGGCTTCCGTCGTGATCAGCCTTCGTCCTCGCTCTCTCTCTCTCTCTCGCCACTTCCCCGGCATACTCTTCTTCGCACAAATTACAAAACACGTTCGTGTCACACGCGCGCGCGCGCGCGAGTGCGCCGATGGGCTTCGACAAAGTGCGCACGATGGCTCGGATACGATGCGAAAAGCGTTTTAAACTTTCCGTGAGTGGTCGCGTCACGAAAAATCACGCTGTAATGTTTCGTCAAACTCGATGCGAACCGAAGAACGGAATGGGCGTAAAACTACATGTGTAGACGAACTATAATGAAAATTATCACAGAATAAGTAGGTAGATAGAAAAAATTCATGCGCACACAGCGGAAAAATAAAATAAATTTGACAATATATATATATATATATACATATATATTTTCACGAGCTGTTGAAAGAACGTTAAACGGAAGTGTCTATAATACTTATCGAAAGATGCGTTCCGCAGATCGCGGCTCTTTCTCAGCGCCCGCCGGGGCTGATCGTGTGCAAGGGTAGTGCCCGTCGAAGTTAACCTTTGTTTCGCGCATGACCGGCCTTTTGAGTTTATCAGTGTGTAGCAGGTGGTGTGTGGCGCTTTATTTATAACGCGGCAACGTCCCTTCTTCCTTTCGCGAAACTGCCGTGGCCGATCGCGTTAAGCCGCGCGAGCAGTTCGTATATCGCACGTATATATATGTATGTATATAAAGGCTATGTGTGTGTGTGTGTGTGACACGTGTGTATTCACGCGTGTCCGTGCTCTTATACACGCACGCATCGTACATTGTGTACGCGACATTGCGCGCACGCGGCGTAATAGTAGTGGTAGTATTGCGCACGTATGGGTAATAAACGCATGTTTCGCGCGTAAGTAGAACATACGCGTTTGCGTGTGTGTGTGTATGTGTGTTTGCGTTTACATACGCTCTCTCAAGTACGTTGCGTGTGTGTTCATGCGTAACATACACGTCTTTCATACGAGAATTATCGAGATATACGCATGCCGCTCCGCAAGCTCTGTCAGTAATACGTGCGTTAGAAAAGCTTGTTGTTATTTTTTTTTTTCTAATTATCACAAAATAAAAGAAAAGAAACGAGAACACGATCGACAACACGCTCGCGTTCGATTGTCATTATTGAATTATTAACAATTTGTCGCTCTCTTTCTCTCGCGTCGATAACAAAAATGGATTTGCGCGCGAAGAAATGAACGTGCGAGACGGTAGGAGTCTAATAAAAATGGAATTTACGAAATTTTAATACCCACCCCCCCCTCTCGTATATACGCAAGGACTTGTCTCGCATTCGTCGCGTCCTTCTTACAGATGATTGAACGTGAATACAACAGATTTCCGCGCGATGCTTCGTCCTGAATAAAATGTCGTTTTTTTTTTATTTTTTTTTATTTTTTTTTTATCGGACTTTCGTATTATTATCTTTCCTTTTATTGACATGTTCGAATACCGTGTTCTGTTCGCTATTCGCACTTTGCGCGCGCGCGATCTCTTTCAATTTAATATACACATCACAGGAATGCGAATATTGAATATGTGAATTCTAATCAAAGTATTAATAAAAATATTAATAAACGTTCCGCGTTGTATGTATGTGCGAAGCTCATCAAGAAGATAAAAAATTTAATTTTTGTTTTCACAACA